TTCTACTGGGAGAATCATTGGGCATTTATACATGTGCTCTGGGAGTTAATTTCTCTGATATTCTCTGCTTCAACTGCCATCCCTACTCCCTTTCTTTGTGTTTGTACAATACTTTTACCAATAATCCTAAAACCCATAAATCACATTCTTCTTTCTTTTTAGTTTTATTTCTTCTCACATATCCTCTTACCTTGTTTCTTGTTTTTCCTTCTGTGTTCTTATGTTACTTTTATTGTAACACAGTTTAAACTTATCTTTCTTCAGTCAGCAATGATCTAATGTGGAAAAGATTTGAAAAATAGCTGGACTAGTTCCCTGAAATCTGGCCATATTTTTTTTTTTCATTTTTCTCCTCTTAATCTCCTCTTCCTGGGTTGATATGGTTTGACTGGGATGATCTAGTTGGGAATGGTCCTGCTTTGAGTAGGGGGTTGGACAGGATGACCTCCTGAGGTCCTATCCAACCCTAATTATCTATAATTCTGATTCCTTTGTTTTCAAAAACTAATCCATGTATGTTTTCTGTTCCTTTTGTTGTAAGCTGTCATCTCCGTATAGCACTCTGTCCTTCTCTCCTTAGGTGCATAGATACTTCCTTCCAGTATGTTGACTTAGGCTTCTAGGATCTATTGTAATAGGTCAAGTGCCAGGGGAGACAGAGGGCAGGCACAGGCATGGTGAGGGCAAGGGGGTTGGGCAGAGAGGTAAGGGGCTTGGGGTCTTGCCCCTCAGCCCCTGATGTTGCTTTTCCTGCTACAGCACTTGTGGGCTGGGGTGGGGGAAAAACATTTAAGAGATACCTGCATACTTAGAAACCTGTACATGGAAAATGAGAAACCTGTACTTGGAAAATTATAACAAATTTATATTTTTCCACGTATAAACTAATTATTGGGGATTGTCTTACAGACATCATGGGTTCATGTAAATACACTATCTCCTGCTTGTTCCATTTTAACTCCAGTCTTCCCCATCTTCCACCCCAACACACACTTTTTGAAAGTACAGTCTAATAAACATGTCCTATATCAATAAAATAAAAACAAGAAAATTCAGTGCTCAAATTGCGTTTCAAGTTAAAATGTGGTAATTTTGTTCTGAAAGATAGACTTCATTCTCAGGATCCATCATCTCATATAACTTCAGCACTGTTCTCATATGGAAAAAGAAAGAATGCACTGGAAATCTTTCTTAGCTTTTCTGTATTTACAGGGGAGCAAAGTCCTAATGTCTCGCTAATGCAGAGGATGTCAGACATGCTGTCAAGATGGTTTGAAGAAGCTAGTGAAGTTGCTCAGAGCAACCGAGGGCGTGGAAGATCTCGATCAAGAGGTAATTCTCCTTCAGAAAAATAGGTTGGAACAAGACTCTCTTGTTTTGTTTTTTATTAAGGATTAGTAGAATGTTGATAATTTAACAAACTTGATGGGAGGCAGTAACACAGATGTTAGATATTTATGTTCATTTACAGTATAAGCTTTTGGGGGCAGACTGGTTTTTATTTTAGTTAGTGTTTTGTATACTGGGTTGAGCATATAATGTGTCAAATAAACAATAATGAAAAAGGTCTTTTTTTAAAGTAGGTTACTAGTGGGGTGGGGTTGTTCTTGGGTTTTTTTGTTTGTTTGTGTTTTGTTTTGTGTTTTAAACCAAAGGTGGGGCCAGTCGACCAGATGCCCCTCTTACTAGCAGCGTGCCACCAAGGGGTGAGTCGGAGACTGCAATGGAAGTAGATGGTCCTGAACAACCTCCATCATCATCTTCCTCTACCATGTCAGCCCAAGCTCCTTCAACATCTTCCTCAATGGAAAGCCCACCCTCAACCTCCTTACTGTCATCTCCTGACAACGAACAAAGGCCATCTATGGAGGCCTCTGCCCAACCTACGCTCCATCAGTCTGGTGAGGAGAAATAGTGCTGTATGTGGTGGTTTATTGGGAAAATTTAAAATACATAAATAAGTTTTAGCTTTAGTATATTTTTTTTAGTAGTTCAACTCATAACCTTGAATGCAAACTAGGTACGTCTGTTGCTACCTGATGATCCGAAGTGTGGCTATAAGGAAACGCTTTTCTGAAGAGCTCTGTTCTGACTCCAGCCCATTCTGTCACTGCTGCAAGATCAGTGGCAATATCAGTGATTCTTTTATTAGAAGAGAGAGCAGTTACCACCTTATAGACTGCTTGTCCTGCAAACCTGTAAAGTGCATAGAAGTGGCCCATGGATGCCACCTATAAACAGTGTTGTGACCTCCTAAGATTTTCTTATGATAATTGGTATATTTCTTAGAGCCCCAGTTGCCTCATTCAAGAGTTTTTATATAAGGCTCTCCCCTTCCATTTTTATTTTAAAAAGTGAGGGGTTTTTTGTCTTGTGCTTATATAGACAAAATATGGAGACCTGGTTGTACCCTAAGGCTCAAACTAGCACACACATTAAAATAGTTAAAAGTTGTGTATTTTTTATTTAGGGGGAGGAGGGAAAGAAACGAGATTTTTTTTTTTTGATGCCCTGCTCTTGTCTTGAACACTTGAGTTTGACAGTACTATGTAAGGTACCCTCTGTATCTGATATTTGTTGCAGGCGGTGTGTGTTATCTTTATCAGAGGAGGAGATTTTCTCGGGTCCTAAATGGATGTGCTCGGGTGACAGAGATGAGGTTTTCCTATTTCCCCCACTCTGAGAAGCAGTCATCACAAGGCTGCTTCTGTTATAACATAGTGTTTTATTTGATGTGCTGTGATTGGTGGAACCAGACTCCCACCTCAAGACAGGTGTCAGAAAGGAGCAGGGCTGCTGCCTAAATATCAAAAAGAGTGGGAAGTTAAAGATTTAACCTGGTATTTATTAAAGAGAATGTAATCATTTAGCACAAACCTGATTCATCCTTCTAGTAGGCTACCTCCTATGAAGGAATCCACATTACTTAGTCTGGTTGGCTTTCAATGGTGCATAGTTTTTGCTCGCAGCATGTTGGTGTTGATACTTCATCAACCAGTGATTCAGCCAAAAACTCAAGAGCTCACCTTTGTAAAATACAACAGGTTTCAGCTATTCTGGTCTTTGAGATAGATGAACACCAAAGACCACAAATTCCAATGCTAAAGGCTGTGTTCTGTGCCATACTTTCCATATTAAGGAAGAGACCTGTTGCAGGCCACGTTATGATAATGCAGGAAATCAGAATTTAATATATTTCTGTAGCGGCATTTATTTAGTTTCTTTCCTAAATAACACATTCACTTAACCAAATATACCTTTCTGCATTTCTCTGAATTGGTCTGAATTTCAGCGGAATAGTTTCTTAGGCTGGCATGTGGAGTCAAATGACTGCTAAAATAAACCTGACAGAGCCCCACACCTCAGAATTTGAAACCATCACTACTGTTGCATTTTTAAAGCTTTTATTTATTAGAAATCGCTTGAGTATCATGTTAAGCTCTGGAAACATATAGAAAATATTTTGTTCATGACTGCAAGGAACTTCTGGTCTTAGATACAGAACAATGAGTAAGTAAAGTAAGTGAATAGGAAACTTTTTGCTGAGGGGAAACTAGAAATAATTAACACCTGAGCTGCATTTTAAGGAGAATTTTGAAGGAAAAGGAAATAGGGTTCTTGGAAGATGAAGACAGGGAGTACAAGGGGCAGCACTAGATTGAAGATATAAATATATGAACAAGGGAGCAGTAAAGCAAGGGGATTGAGATGGGGCTAAGAGATTGAAATTAGAGAGTAGGTATAGGTGAGATATAGAAGATGGTAAGATTTTGAATAGCAGAATTGTGAAGGTAAGGAAGAAGAATTTAAGTTAAAAAACATAAGCAATGATTTGAGTGGGGTAACAGGAAAAGAAAAAGATGATGCCAGTAGCAGCATATTGAACATAACGGTGAAAAGGACAAAGGCTAAGTGGAAGAAGATTGCAAAATATATAGATTAAGGTGTTACTGGGGAACAGGTTTGGAAACATCAAGAAGAAAATAAAAGACTTTTAGGATCAGTATGGAGAAAGCAATAACAAATGCTGGTTTGGAGAGGGGACTGCCAGTTTTTAGTGACGTGTGAAATTGAGGTCAATCACCATGTTGTGAGTCAGAGTGACTTTCTTAGAAATAGAGCATGAATTCGTGAGGAGAATAGGAGAATGGATTGTTAGACGAATAGTTTTCATTCCTCACTACTGTAATTTGCTACATTCCCCACAGGCCCCCCTAATAATCTGTCCCTTGAAATTGTAAGTAAATATGCTTGAATGTAAAATGCATTTAAATCCTGGCCCTGCTGTGCTTTCAGCAGTGTTCCATGTGATGAACACCTGATTTCCTATCTTTGAAATGCTCATTATATCCTGTAGAATTTTTAAATGTAGCTCTGCAGGCAGTATCTAAGACAAAAATAATACAGTGCTTGGAGTCTGGTCACATATTAAACCACTTCATCTGAAGCCTGTGCACATTATCCTGTTAGGAAAGTACAGCTGACACCACTTAAATGTGTTTCAGATAATCAGTAAACCTGGTTGATGAGCCAAATTTCAGGAAACTGTTTTTTCTCTTGAGGTAGCCTTCCTTTTCTTTGTGGGTGGAGTCATACTTGCTGGAAACTTTTATTACCCTATTATTTACAAAAAGTTGTTAATATTGCTATAAAGCTAATGCACTGGTTTTTGCTTCACTTTTTTTCACTTCACAAAAGCTAGGCAATATCCAGTAACATGATAACTTTCACATTAATTTGAATAAGTACTCTTTCAAGCTACTTATAAATTATAAGGTTATGCGACAACACATATATAAAATGTAATTTAACTTTTTTTCTCTGCTCTGCATTGCACAAACATTCTTTGTATTAAGTGATCAGTTAATTGGGGGAAAAAAATGAAATCCAGAGATGCATGTATTTTTAAAAACACTTTACCTTAATTTTGAACTGGGAAGAGAAAGTAGTGTAGCACTTTTCCCCTTACTACGTTTTCTGGCAAGATATATTTTTGACAAAGATTCTAACTAATTTTAAAACAATTTAATAAAGTTGAAATTTATATAAAATTAAAAAACCCATTTAAAATTTTAGATGTAATTTTGAATAGGCTTTTGAAATTATGATCATGATTTATGGCTGGAGTTAGAACTAAACCAGTAAACATGCTGGAAACTAGAATTTTATCTAAAAGTTTAGGCATAACTTTTAAAAAAAATTAAGTGACTTGAAGTTTTATTCACAGATGGCCTTGATACATGTGCTTCAGAAAGGGGGGGAGGAGAAGAGCTTTAATTAGAGCGGCTCCAAGAGCTGCTCTAATTAAAGCGCCTAGAATGTTATGAGTATCAGCATCCCCATGCTGTAAAATGGTGGCGGGGTGCTTTAACTAAAACTTGTTGAATGAGTGTTAGGTAAAGTTTCCCCACTGCCATTTTTCAGCATGGGGACACTGATCCATGTGACGCTGGAGTCTGCTGGAGCGTGGTAATTACTGTGCTCCAGCAGACTCGATTGAGTCTGCTCCAACGCATTGCAATTACAGCGCTTCAGATCAGCCTCACTGCACATGTATAGGCAGCCAAAAACATTGAGTCCTGTGGCATTTGTGACCCCACTTCATAGAACATCATCTTTTCATGCCAGAAACCTTTAAGACACTTATTTTCCTTTTCCTTCATGTCACATTTCCTCATCAGTAACTGAAGGGTTGGTTGTATTATGCAAAAGTGATATTAGACTAGGGTAGTTGGATTCCAAGATCCAAGTAGTTTCTGGCTCTTCCAGTTATTTGCTTTGTGACCTTGGGCAAGCAATATACTTTGTGACATAAGTTCTAATCCCTGTTTGCCTTACTGCGTGGGGTTGTAAAGCTAAAAAATTATGAAGGCCTTTGAGATGCTTAGATGCTGTTTATTTTAAAGCATAAAGTTTTAGAATATTTCCATTTCATAGTGGTGTTTCTCTTTCTAAGCAGATTTCCTCATGTCTGTAAATTGTGGTGTGCTTATGTGAAGACGTGCTGCTCTATAAATAACAACAGATACATTGTGTACCTTATTTTTTATTGTCAAAGCATAAAAAGGAGTAGAATATAAAGAATATTAGACTATAAGGAGGAATGTAAGAACATAAAGAGAAAAGACTTAAATTCCTAATTGTAGATTTCAGTTAACCAGAGGTAGGCTGTTTCTTGAAGGAAAAGGGAAAATGTAGCAGCTATAACTGGTAAATAGGAAGACGAGGACATGGTGAGAGTAGCTGGGTTTCAAAACTGATGTCTGATGAGAGGTTTCTTTAAGCAGTCCATTAGCAGGAAATCTTTGGTGATCTCTTGAGTTACTTCTTTGTGGGACCAACTTCCAGTATTTTAAAATTTATTTTATGGTTTACAGTTGGGAAAGTAAAAATGAAGACTAACATAAAATACCTTGAACACTATTATGACTTACTGTTTGCTCTTTGGAAGCCATGTCCTGCGACCTTTGTGCATAATCCCCTTTTCAAATTTATGTTTTCCCATTTGGCAGGAAGGGTTATATCAAAATTCCATTTAAATAACTTTTTGAAGTAAGTGACTTAAACTATCTGATGGATCAATACATGTTTAAGCTGTTAAATGGAGAAAATTAAATGTTGGCGGAGGAAACAATCATGTAGCATGAACACTGAACCTCTTCCTGGGATTTATGCATTTAGGAAGGAAAAAAACCCGAATTTAAACACATTTTCTTTATGTTTCTAATTTGTTGGTTATTGGTAACCTTCTTCATAAAGTCAGTACATTGCTTTTATTCCTCTTAATAGCTGTTGCTTCATACTTAAGTCATTTTACATTCTTTTTATTGTATGTTCTATGCCTCCTTTCTTTTACACCCTTTTTTCTTTTTCCTGTCTGTCAGAATTAATGGCACCTGAGTTAGCTATACTTCGTAGGGGTCTGCAGCGACTGAGGCTTAAGAAGGCTGAACAACAGAGACAGCGAGAGCTAGCTGAGGGTTCAGCACCACAGTCCTCCAGCTCTGATCAGTCTTCCAGTAAGGGCTCCTCACAGGACCCTCAGACTTCAGGTTATCATTTGTCAAGGTTTCTTAAGCAGCTGATGTAGTTATAGTTTTGTGCTGCTGCTGTTTGCTGAGATGCTTCCCTTTAAGAATAAGATAGCTAATGCACTTGCTGCTCACATACCTTGCATGTGGTGGTGTTTATCATCACATGATTAGAGAGATTAATTATGGTAGCATCAACTTATTTTCTTGGTATTTTTGTGGCATGTAGTTAGACATAAGACGATTCTAAGTAGTAAGTCAGATCACTCAAATATTCCCCAAATAGTCACATTGGCAACTTTCTGGGAGGGTATTAAGAGCTGCACGTGACCAGAACTGGGATACCTTGAACAAAGTTTATTAGTTATTGTGATCTTGATGGAGTAATTCATGACATTTGGGACTTTTTAGTAGATAAGAGTGCATTGAAATATGGACTTTGCTCTTGGTACACTTGTTTTAAACCATTTCATAAAACAAGCCAGTACCAAAAAAAAATAGGTATTTTTGCTCATTACTGAATATTTCCTTTACAACAAATGCTTCCATTCTGCTCATTGTCAAAATGCCTCTAATCAAAGGCTGCTGCTGTATCTTGGCTTTGAAATGTAAGGCAGACCACGTAATGCGGGTCTAAAATGAGATGGCATTGACTGTCAGGTCAAAAATTAGATTGAAAAAAAAATGCTAATACCAGTTTATAAATCCTTCTTACATATAAGTACATCTGGTTGTCCCAGAATTTGCTCATCATTCATTTGTGTTTGATATGGCAAATTTTTGTATATACAACACAGACATGTAAGATCTTTCCAGTTGTATTGCTCCTCCATGTAGGATGATCCATAAATTCTTTATGGGAATATTATACATTTAAAATAAACCATAATCAGTGACTGTAAGCAATTTAAAAAATAATTGTGCCTGATTTGGTCTAAGATTCTTAAACCTAGGATTAATTAGCAGTTATTAATGACTTATATAACATCTATTTAGAAACAGAGTACCCTTAATTTTGCAGTTCCTGGATTATGAACGCTTAATTTTTCAGTTTTAACATTTTTTCTAATATGCTGTAGTTTTTGTATGGACTCACCTTTGTTTAAAGCCAGATTGCCACTTTTATTCACATTCATTGTTGTTGTCATCATTATGTAATTATGGTACCATTTATTTGCTTCCTGATGTCTAGAAGACCTAGCCCTGGACCAGGATCTCATGTACCAGGCCCTGTGCAAACAGCACAAAACTGCCCCTGCTCAAAAGAGTTAACAGTCTAAATATTATTAAATAGTACTTTATTTTTCCAAAAGTTCCATTGAAAACCTGAGTAAGGGTGATGCAGTCTAGTCATTATCAGCTAGCCAGATTTGCATGCCATGCTGATGTTGTCATTTTATATACAACTTCGCAGTTTTGGTATCCCATTAGGTCACGTGGGTTAATGAAGCCTCCAAGTGTATTGTATGAGGTGTGGCTTATTACATTCCAGCTATACACTAAAAAGAGTGTAGTCATCTATCATTTTAAAGGGTTGAAATATTTTTAACAAATACCATGATTTGTTAATTGTGGCACAAGTGTGAATTGCCAGCACATGGGTTAGTTACAGAACTTCCAATTCAGCCAAGTAACAACTATATATAAATACGTCTCTTTCTTGCTTCCTTAAGAGCCCTTCTAAATTTCAACTATCTGCCCTCAAAATCCTTTGGAACTTAAAGATTTTTACAAAAAACAAAAGTCCAACATATTTTTGTAAGTGAGAGGAAAAAACACACGCCTCTGTCAAACCCTGAATTTTTCACAAAACAAAAATATAAGCTAGAACTAAAACATTTTGAGTAGTTACTGAGACTGCATTGTTCAGTGGGGAAGGTAAATGAGAATTTATAAGCTACTGAAAGCAGGGTCATATAATGGAAGAACTTACAGGACTCTAACTGTGGCCACATACAGATGTTCCATTTCTGCCAGGAGAAACACCTTTCTCCTGGTTTGGAAAAAAAAAAGTGTGTATACAGACATTCAAAGGCTTTCTTGTAGAAGAACGTTTCTTCTGCAAGAATTCAACTAGTTACCAGAAAAAAGATCTTCCTGATTTATTTATCATTATTTATTTATTTTAGAGAATTGGATATAGAAATGGGTACAGTTTTAGAGTTGGAGAAGGTTGTTTTGTTTTGTTTTTAAAATAAACTAAACAAGATAGTTTTATTTCTACTATTTCAGTTTTTTTAATTATAAATTACTAGGCAGACACAATCTCTCTATCTGACATTATTGCCTGAAGACTGGCTTTTGATTCTCTCTCTAAAAAACAATGTACTTCATTGTAGTGTTTCCCTTACAGAGTAAGAACTTCCCTTTTGTTAATTTGTGATTTGGCTCAGGCGCAGTGTCTTTAATGTTGTTTCACGCATCTAGCCTCTTGCAGCCCAGTCCTTGCTGTATATTGTAAACATGGAAGGGTGGGGTGGGAATTGCCTTCATATATCAAAAAATAAGATAAAATGTCAAGGGCAGAAATTTTTATCAGCTTAATAGAAAAAAAATTGCTACATTATTAGGCTGTCTGGTAAATATTTAATTTCTACTAAAGGATTGTTAATGATTGTATTTAAGAGAGAAAACTGAATGCGCAATAAGTGATCTTCACTGTTCTGGGAAATGCTATCACACCTTCATAGTGCTTGAAAAATGGGAAAGGAATTAAGTGTTCATTTCTGATGGACTGGATTGGCATGGAGGGGAGAAAAGTTTTGCATCCTCTAATGGGAGAGATCTCTTGTTCTATTTTGTACCCCAACTGAAGTATTATGTAATTGCAGTGACATTTCAGAAGCAGAGCGTGCTTCCCATGCTTAATTTTTTATACATTCTTTTCTGCAGCACAGAAATTTTACTTAATTTTATGTAAGTTAAATTCTGAAGTCCTTAGTGAGTGAAAAACATGTATTTCATTTAATTAGGAGTCATGCTGGAGCACAGATGTAATAGACTAAGCAAGCACTCCAGTGTTGACCTGTCATACTTTTCCCACAGCATTTAGATGCTATACAAAATTAAAGGACAGTGTGCAAGAAGCGTGGATTATTCTAAATTGTTGTACCTGCTTAAACCTGCTATTGACAAAAGGTTATATGTGTTACCAGTTATCAGGGAATTGGCTAACAAGATGTATAAATAACCTAAAGATTGCTAAATTAGAATTTTGAAGAGGACTGAGGTTTTTTTCCCTTGAGAGCTTCTGGCCACCATTTTCTTAAGAGTTAAATCTGAACAGTGACAGCAAGCATAAACTAGCTGATCACAAATAGTATGTTTCATGGCAAGGGAAACATGTCTAAGGTTGAGAGAGTGCAACATCATGACTGATTATAAATGAAGGCTGTCTGCTATTCGCAGAACCAAATTCTTCACTTGTAAATGCCAAGTTCTAAAAATGCCTCTAAATTCCTTAATATGCGATAGAGTGCTTATCACTTTGGGGAATTAAATTTCACAAAACTAAGTACAAAAGTAAATATATATTTATTAGGTTCTCCATATTAATTTACAGTGTGCACAGTGTTTCTCAGGCTTTTTAAAGCATCTTTCATTCCCTGCTTGTTACTTAGTTGACATGCAGATTTTTGTAGGGTGCCATTGTTTTGGGAGACGGGTATGATTTTTTTAATTTAAAAAAACTAAAACAGGTAAGCTGACCAAAAGATTTGTATATCATTTTTAAGTATTGACTGCCTTTAATTAGAAGTTTAATCCAGGATCCTCCAGCATGCAACTGAGTCCTAAATTATATTTTATCCTTTACATTTCTGTTTGAGGTTCTCCAAATATACTGCTCTCCAGCTCCCTTGCTAAGTGGTGCTTCAGTTTAGAGTATGCTGGGAACATCATAACCTGTGGTGAACTGCATTTGGATATAGATCCAGCCTGTGGAAGCTCAGGTAAGTGCGATTTTTCTGTTTGTTTTTTTAACTATATGGCACAGTTTTGCTAATATTCTTTTTCAAAATCTTCATCCCAAAGGATTTTAAATAATATTTTTTCAGAATTTTTACAAAACCAAGCCATATATTAAAAAAAGAGGCACTTACCTGACCTTCTCTAGGCTGGTTCCATGATCCTGATTAGTTCCCTGCCTGAGCTGTGGTGTCCCAGCATTTTGAATCCTGCAGTGCCACTTGGAATGGGAGCTGGCGATCTGTAGCTTCGGGGGACTTGAAAAGGAGAGAAAAAGTGAGTTTAAAATAACTACATGTTGATTCCTTTTCTTTACAGTGCCACGTGAGATTTTTAGGCCATTCTTTATTTGTTGGGTTTTTTTTTTTAATCGCTTGGTGATTTAAATGAAATATTTCAAATGCAATAAAATCAGAAGTCACCGAGCTGAATTTTTAAAAGGACAGCTGATTTAATTCTGCCCTAACAGGAAGATGGTTGGGACAACCTAAAAATCTTCTTATTGCTAACTTCTATTGATTAACTCATGCCAACACCTACTTCTTATATGTGCTACTGTAAAATATCTACATTCCATTGAATAGCTATGTTTTGTTATTTTGGTCTGCAAAATTAGATACTTGAATTTGTTATTGAAGGTTTGTAAGTACAGGATAGACAAACAGTGGAGATGCATATGATCCTGGTTTGAGGAATGGGTTAGACTAGCTGCAGCCCCATTTTTGTGAAACTACAGTGAATATACAGGACATGGCAGCAGTTAATATGGTAGTTTGGTCACATCCCAAATTACATAAAACTGAATTAAGGAATTGATGTGAAGATTTTAGCATTGCCTACTTTTCTGGGCCAACAATGTATTTGATAGAATTCTTAATGATTTGTCATTTTAAGGGCTCCTTTTTATGAAAGAACATGTAAGCATACAACAAGAACTGGAGTGCTTGATATATGGCTAGACTGTTACTAGCTATTTATTTTTGGGCAAGTAGGGAAGGAAGAGCATAAGAAACTTTCATTGTCCCCATCCCTTTTGCCTCTTGTATAAAGCTTATAGAAAAAGGTGTGTTAATGGTCCTGGATTCTACTCTGTATGTGAGTGAAGCCAGCCTGGCATGGCAGAAGAGGTGTGTGCAGCATCATTATATAGGCTGAGTTGTGCACAGTGCACATGGAAGTTCTTCTGAGGTTATGCTTCTCTACAACACCTTTTTCCTTGGACCTGTGATTTAAAATTATGATTCAGCTTACAGTTTAAATACTGCTGTGCTAAATTGTAGATGCTCTTATGAAGTATATTACAGTTCATGGAAAGTACAGTACTTTATTCCAGTGACTCATTTTCATCAGAAAGTGCATCATTTGAATCTGTGGGAACATCTTGAACCATTTCATTTCCCAAAACAAGGTAGAGCAATCTGAAGGCCATAGCCTTAGTTAAAGGAATGGTCAGCATAATGAAGGAATGACCCTGCCATTTCACCTGCACTGCAAGGGAGGGAACACCATCTGATTTCTATTTGCATGGCGAACCTTCATTTGTCTGTTGAAGCAGAATTCATAGTTACAGTAGGGACAGGTGAGCCACCTCTGTTTCAGTAATGCCGGTCTTCACCTCCTGTAAACAGTATGTAAACATTAAGTCTCTGTTAGTATACTATGAATCACTTTATAATACAGGATATTAAATCCCTTTTTCATGTATTATATCTGTTCACAGCAGAAGACTAATGAACAGAACCACAATATAGTAGCCTAGGCATTGTTAATATATATTTGAAATACTGAACTAATTCATGCACATTGCCTAATATTGAGTGACCCAGAAATAAGATCTCTGTAGTTCTAAAAAATGACAAGGGAAAAAGTTTTCACAGAGGTTGCTTAATTTCTGTGTGAATGGTTTGTGCATACCATGAAATAGGTATTATACCTTAGGTAATTAACTGATAATGTCTAATAGAAAATTCACTTTTTGATCTTAGTTGCTGTTCTGAATGTTTCTGCTATAAAAGGAGGCTTCATAGAAGTTTGTAAACAGAATTTTTGTGTTCATGGATTTTTATCAAACTACTGAGATTATAGAAGTGAAGAGTCTGCAGAACTATTGAATTTTCTAATATGCCAAGTATGAGATTTTGTTTTTTTCAGTATTTTAGGCTGCTTACAGACTTAAAAAAAAAGCCCCCAAAGTATGGTGCTTTACTTCAAATCCTGTGTGCCTGTACCAAACCCAGTGCATGCCCAGAAGAGGCATCATGTTAACTGGACCTGGCTCTCCTAACATCTGTATAGATTTGTTGCTGTAGTGGGGCTTTTTTGGAACTTTTATCTAATAGGTGATTGAATCTGCTATTAGATAAAAGCGCCAGAAAGTCCCACTGAGTGAGTTTAAAGTAAGATGCTGCAAAGCCAGATCAAACTAATGTGCTGCTGCTTCCGATTAAACGCACTTTTTTCACATGTCAGCAGCCTCAAAGTCTACATTTTAAAAATCTTTTGCTACTATTTATGAACTCTTTTCAGTTCTTAAAACTTAACATTGTATAGTTTTGAGTTGAAGGTTAAAGTATCTTTGAAACTATTGGACTGTTATCTAAGATTTTAAACAAAACTGAGGGGGTGTTGCTCTTGTTTTGTTTTGTTTTTTTGCTTGAAGAAGCAATTCAGTTTAGTTGGAGCATGAGATTTAAGAGTTGTGACTGTTTGCTCTTCCTAACATGAGAGAAGTTTAAAATATGTATTATAGTTTATTGTCTGGAATTAAACTCTGTCAGCTAATCTCAACTAGTTTGCCATAAAGAAGCTGATAAATATATTAAGACCCTGCCAAGAATTCATCTTTTTGGTTTTGATACTTATGGTATGAGTTAAAATTCTTAGACCTGGAAGGGAAAACACAGTTGCTTTGATATAGTGTTGTCAGCATACTTTTAGGGCAGATACTAAATGCTTGCTTGAAGGAATGCATAATGATTTGAAACATGGCTTTGCTTCTTTTAACAGAGGTAGATAATTACTGGCCACTCAAGACACAAATCCAGCGCTTTCTTACATTGCTGCATTATTTTAAGCTAACATATGATCGTGACATTGCTGTGCAGTTTTCTGCTGCTTATTTTAAGTTGAAATCTCATTTTTGTTTCAGATTCTCCTTCTGTGGTTAACAAACAGCTTGGAACCATGTCACTTGATGAGCAACAGGGTGCGTGTGACAGGATATACACTATACCCAATCATAGGTTATTGCAGTACATACTCCAGGTGTCCTTTTTAATTTGCATTTCAGGATGATAAACAGTCTAACATGCTGTTTATCTTCATAAAGTAGAATTCCTTAATTGTACCTGCAGTTGAAAGCCTCATACTACTCAATTATAAGCTCTTCAGGACTAGTGTAAACTAATAATACAAAACAAAACAAAACCCAAACAAACCAAACCTTTGCCACCAACTTATTCTGCTTTTTTATATACATAATGCTATTCAGTATACAATAATGAATATATATAATGATTCAATAGATAAGGATGCAATATACAGGGATGTGATCTGTTGAAGAATCCCATGCATTCAAAAGCTTGTCTAACCTTATCCCAACCATATAATTGGTCCATTAAAAGGTATCACCCACAAAGATCCTTGCCTCTCATTCAATATATATGTGATGGCTTTACTTGGGCATACTGTAAATGTGTTAAAAATATTTGGATTGCTTTAATCCAAAGTAAAATTACATTTTTTAAAAGCTGATGTTTATAGATGGCAAATTTCTGTGACCCCTTGGGAGAGTCTCTTTGTGAAACTCGCTTTTAGCTATATATAGCAAGAGTAGTCTTACTTTATGCAGGAGGTGTTTACAGATGTCAAAGGAAATTTCATATAGGATGCTAACCTCCACTGAGCTACAATCTGCCTGCTGTTACGTGTGTGTAACTAAGGGCAAAGATGTGCCATTCTTTTTGATATATACTCCTTGATTTAAAATATTTCTTGATAAGAACAAAATAAAGTAGAAACTAGATGTGAGCCTCAAAATGATTGCATGCTTAGGATACCCCAGTAGTCTGTAAAATTTTACTGGAAGGCTGAGAGGCTTACCTGCTCTGATCACAGCTAGAGCCCAGCAGTGGCGAAAATAAATCTGCAAGACATCAAAAAGCTTTTGGTCCCAGAAATCAGGCTAAGGTATAGGAGTTGTTTTGTTATCTTTCCAAGTTGGTTAATTCACTTTAGAACTACCTTGTGTAATACTACAGAAAATTGCATAAATGTAGTAAAGTTCTAGTTGCAATTTTCTATTTTCTATAATGCCTTATACTCTTGCACTTCTGTGAGATTTTCTTTTGCAAAACCAGTTGTTTGTTTTAATATGCCATAGAAATAAAATATTTTTTTTATTGTGAGCCTTATTGGCACCTATTTTATGAAGGTTCATTTAAGTCAGCAACTTCCTTACCATGATCTGCCAAATCCCTACAAACAGAGGAGGCTGTCGCCTGGATTGGTATAGATTAGGAATCTAGGAGAGGAAGTAATGCTTTAGAGAATCTGTCTTGCATCATTTGGTCAATGGTGGGCAGGTGTGAAGCTGACCACATTCTGCATTTATGTTACCTTGTGCTATATGATCAAATCAGCTATTTAAAATTAAAACATGCCTGGTTGGGTCAATATTTAGATGGCAAACCTCCAAAGAATGCACCTGCCTGACACAGGACATTGTGTCAGTGCTCCTATACAGTCGTGCTTGTCTATCTTGATTCAGTGTTGAATCAATACAAGTTAGTTTGGTGTTAGGGTTGGATATGATGTTGACATCACCATTTCTTATGACCAGTAGTAGCTTAAACAGCTACTATTCTAACCACATTTTACTGCGAGTTGTTGAATATTGTCTACATACATATAATCTTGAGACTTCAGATGGATTATGATAGTCTTCAGTTGGTGTTTCACCTCAGCAGTGGCTGCAGTTCAGTAACAGATGGACACTATCCGAGGTATACATTAGTTTAAAAGCAGCATTGTGGCTTTAAACTACTGCTTGAACTGGCAGGTATGGAAAGGTAAAGAAGAGCTGTATACACCCAGAAGTTTTCTCAGGCATTCCACTTGTTGCAAAATGCTTTGGGAACTGTGTCTGAGGAGGCCCTTGCTAAATCTGAGGGGTGACTGTGTGTACCCATCGTGTGCCAGTACATTACTTCTTAACTAGTCCATCAGGTTTGGGGGGATAGAGACAAAAGATCTAACCCTAACCCTCTCCCTTGCCCTTCTTCCAGTTCCTAGACCATTCTGGGCAGTGGATTTCCAAAATTTTACAAGTCTTACAAAGTGTAGGCTTTGAAAAACAGGGGCTTTGACAAACTCCTTATCCAGTAAGAGTGCATTATACTCTCTGATTGAACAGTATACCTAAAACTGGACAAAAATTAGGACACTTGGATAATGGATTGATTACTGGAACAGACTAATCTTGAATTAGTTTGGTTTCAGTTCTTCTAACCAAAGCACTTATTGAGCCTTTTACTGACAGACAGCTGCACCCTGACAGACATTCACTTTAAGACGTGATGGGATCTAATTCTTGATCCCAACAACTGCGTGTCCTTCCATGCCACATGCAGTTGTGGGACATGCAGGACATGCAGTTGTGGGATTGGAGATTAGATCCCTATCGTGCATTACTTGCTTCAGCAAGACAAACCCAATCAGCTGATTGTCAGTTCCAGCCAGGAACATAGCCGGTCCCTACCCCAGCTGACAAGCAGTTCTGCATGCAAGGAGCTATAAAACAATGTGTGCTGCCCAGCTGAGGCACGTGTGATTTTGACAGGTGTTGGTGCATGGGGAGCCTGGCATGGGGCTGCTGCACACAGGCAGCACATAAGGTTTTGCAGGTCTTGACCTCATGTTCAATTTAAAGCATGATACAAAAAAGCAAGAAAGTTTTTTCCATGTGAATAAGCCACATTGTGGCTCATTTACTGCCTTATTATGTCTTAAATTGAGTTGCATACCTGCCCATTTACTATTTAAAGCACAATCAGCCTGTTAATTGTTTCTTAAATGTAATGTGTGTCAGGGGCCATAATATTTTCCAGTGTACAGGGTTTCCCCCATTACCTCTGAAGTCAGCTGTTGCTGATGATTTTGTGGTGGAGAGTCTTTGTGTAGAACTTACTCCTGTCCCCTGAAATTCATCATACTTTTGAACCTCTTCCATTCAAAGAAAGCATACTTACAGTTGTACCTCTAGAGTGGGCACTCCTGACTCTCTGTTGACTTCCTTTTCATGAGGATAGGTGGGTAAAGGTTGAATATGAAACTGAATGTGTGAAGATCATCAAGAGAGATGAATGAGAAATGATTCTCTCATCTTGAAAAGTGTTTCATGATTTCCATTTTTTGTTCTGCATCCAAATGGATCCGAAACATTTTGAAATTTTTGTCATGAAAAGCTGCCTGCCCACCTACCCTGCAGGAGACTACTCTGTATGATTCAGACAAGGAACTTGGTCTCCCATGTTAGAGATAAGCACCCTACCCACTAGCCAATGAGCTTTTTTGGGAGTGCCATAACACTGAGTCTCTTCTGTTGGAGCTGTTCCACTTTGTATAATAAATATTCATTGGAGCAGAGACTTGAACCATCCTCTCCTACATTCCATGCAAATGCCCTAATCACCACGCTGTATAATAGATCTCACTCTGCCTCAGTCAGTCTGCTCTGCTGGAGCCGATCCACTGTGTATAAATAACTAATAAAATATCTAGTGGCCATAGAGAAGTAAGAGAAATGAGCTCAATAGTTCAACTGGAATAGGGGAGTATGAGGTTCAGATTCTTGCTCTGAATCGGCAGAGAAGACTTGAAAGCATCCCCTAACTTTTGGGCCATTGGCTGCTCTGGGGAGAGTCTCTTTGGTTTTGACCATATTGGCTTCGAGAAACCCTTTCTGTCCAAATGGTTGCTCTTGAAGCTATAGTTTTGAAGACATCTGTGTTTTCTGATGGAAAAAGTACTGCATCAAAGCTTCTCTGAGCAACTCTTAATTATGATGCAGACTGCATGGCAACTGGAACGAAGGGTGGTCTGAAGCCAGGAAGGCTTCATATTTCTCAGGATATGAGTGAGTGAGTATGTCAGACTCCATTAAAATGCATTACGAATCATAGTTTTAAAGCTTTATGCTTCTTTCTTTCTTAATATACAAACAGATTTACATTATCAGTACAACATTTTACAGGTTACCTTTAATTTACACACAGATTTATTCAAAGTACTTCTTCCTAGCAGATAGCAGAGTCTTTAGCTTCTAACTTTTAGCTAGGCAAAGTACAGATGTGCCTCATCTTTATGAACATTTCACAGTGCAAAGCTTTATTTTTTATTAATTTGATGTGCGCAGATTAAATTTTATGAGAATATAAATGGATTTTGAGTTTTTCTCTTGCTCTTTATGCATAAAACCATGAATGAAATTAAATATTTCTAATGAGAAAGGGAGCAAAACTTCACTTTTTTGTATAACAGCAGCTGGAAAGTAGACTTTGCCCTAGAATATACTTTCCTATTGCAAGGAAGTATGTGAAAATTTGGTAAATGTCTGATGCTACCATTTGTCATATATGCTGATATCACATGTAGGGCAGCTTTTCTGATATGGTTATTTCTTCAGAGTACTTCCCAAGGAATTTGCAGCGCTCACTGGCTCCCTGTAACTTAATTTGTTAGTGCTTCTACATAGGTTATTAGCTTTGGAGATAGAAATTCACTATTTAATTTCAACAGCATAGCTTCCTCACTAATGCCCTGCTTGGGTGAGGGATGTGGCTATATAGTACATTTCCCCTCTCCATTCTTTCTTTATTCTTCCTGAAAATTATTATTGTGATTGGAAAATAGTCTGTGCTCGATCAATTTTCTGTTGTAGACACTGGTCCTTTAAGTACCAGACAGGAACGAATTAATTTATAACACGTAGCACCCACACAGCTTTCATTAGCAATGTGGACTTACCTAGATACCCATATTTCAATACCTCATTACCAACCTCTTGGCCTGCCTGTCCCTCATGATTTTAGTTTTAATTTTATATCATTAACGTTTGTTTAAAAATTGAATTGAATCCAATTTGGAGTTAATGTTACAAAACTTCTTAAATCTAAGATTATATATTGGAAGATAGACAGGAAGTATCTACTGAAAGTTTACCACTTTTTTATCAGTTACTTTTCTCTAAATTTCTTTCTCCAAACAGTTACTAATTCCACTTTAAAGCTAGTTGTCATAGTTGTTGTTATATAGCTGTCTATATAATTTACTTGAAGCAATGTCTATGTGCACTCAAGTCTTGAAGAGTTAGAAGTCGCTACAACAGTAAAATGGAGTAGGAGAGTTACCTGGAATATCCTGGAATAGTTTCTAAGGTCAAAAAGAACCATTCATATAACCTAGTCTGAGGTTCGTAACACAGGCCGTAGTTTCGCTCAGGCTCACATAGTTTTGTGCAGCAGGATATGGTGGCTGCTTTATGGGTCACCAGTAGTGATTATTTTTCCACTGAAGCAAGTATTGCAAAGCAAGATCAGGCCATTGCATTGTGATTATTTTATGCCGTGTATTGTATTCTATTCAAAATAGTAAATCATCTTTCCATTCCTATTCTGACTTCTGAAACATGTTGTCTCTCATTGGCCTGGCTTTTATGAGTTAGGGGATAAAGATTCCATAAGCTCCTTTTTGACTCCTACTCTTGCAAACTGTCTTATGTTAATCTTACCACTTTGTGCATCAGAATAGGGGTGTGATACAAAGGGCAGGTACTGACAAGTTGCCATGAACTTGAAATATGTACATTTTAAAGCAAAAAAGTACGAATTTTCACTCAAAATCTAACCATATTGTTTTCTTGTTCTTATTCAGTCTGTGATGAGATTGATTTCACGACAGTAAAACCATTTGTTTGACCAGATTTCATCTCTACCTTGACAGGATAGGGCAACTGCAGCCTTTATTTTAAAGCAGCCAGGACCTCTACTCTGAATACCTCTTATACATAGCTACTCTAGTGAGGCTTGTGTGTAATTGTCATAATGGCTTAGACAAAACAGGATACCCCTTTAAAAACAGTTTTGTAAACATATAGTTCATATGTCCTTGCTTCTTAATTTTTTTATATTTTAATTGTGCTTAAGATACACTTTTAACATTCTTAATATCAAATGATTGTTGCCCTGATACCCTGATTGGCTTCCATCAGTCAAGAGTTTATACCTCCATGAGTTTTCAGAGGCAAATTATGCTCTCAGATGTATTAGTTTACGGCTCCTATTGACTTTAAAGGAAGTCATATATAAGTATCTAGTTGTGGAATTGTTTCAGTAAAGCTGATATGCCTTTGCAATGTATAGTTTCTTCAAGTTATTTATGCATGTATTGAGAGAGATTCTGAAGTATCTTTATAATAATTACAAAATAAATTAATCGCCAGTCATGTCAGAGTTTTAACTGTTCTGTTAAACGGCATTATTATGCAATTAGTTGCATATTTAACCATTGGATTTAAATTGCAGAATTTCAGGTTGGAAAAGCAATAGCAGACATCCTTCTTAAACTTATGATTTATCATTCTCAGTTTTAATTTCACCCTGTAGGAATTGAGGTGACATTGCTAACAAAGCATTTATGATCAGGTTTGCATGCTCCCAGTAACCAACCTAACATGACTAACTCGGCTGTTTAGAGGGCAGTGAAGTAAAAGATTAGGCATATTTGACACCAGGAAGTAGTCATTATCTGCGGGGTTCTGTTTCCAGTTCTGACACTGGTTCATCTGGTAATCTAAAGTAAATCTTGGGATCTTTATCCTTTATAAAATAGGGTTGCAAGATTTATCTCCTTTGTATGAAGTATTATAGTTTGAATGACAAAGTATTTAATACTCAGTATGCATTTATCAGTCAACAAGAAGCAACAGGTAGCTTTTCATGTTGAGAATTTATTTAAAAAAAGCAGGTGATTATTTACATTACAGGAGTCTTTGGATGTTAACAGTATGGTTATCAGTGGGCGACGGTGATCATTGCCTGCTGGAATTCACCATCCAGCGCAAGGTGGCAAAGGCATGCAGTAAGGCAGCGGCCCTGGATTTTAGGATGGCAAATTTCAACGAGCTAAGGAGGATAGTTGGGGAAGCACTGAGGTCCCGGAGGGGAGGGGAGACAAGTGTCCAAGGAGAGTGGTTGCTCCTCGAGATGATCCTCCAAGCCCAAAGGAAGGTAATCCCAACGAGGATCAAAGGGAGCAGAAGGGCGCATAAGCCCCCATGGCTCACCAAAAGCATCCGGGAATGTCTCCTTGCTAAAAAGGTGGCCTACACCCAATGGAAAGAAGGGGTCATCACCAAGGAGGGCTATTCTGCAGTTGCTCGGGGATGTAGGGGGATAGTTAGGAAGGCCAAGGCAGAGCTGGAACTGGGACTGGCTTCCCAGATTAAGGACAATAAGTCTTTTTTTTAAATAGGGGGTAAAAAGAAGGTCCCAGGTAATGTGGGGCCCTTGCAGGATGCGTTGGGAAACTTGGTCGTCACACCAGATGACAAAGCTAACATGTTTAA